CGCCCGCCACAGCTGGGCCGCCGCCGGGGAGCGCCCGGTGCGGGGCGGGGGGGTGGGGGTGAGCGTGGTGGTCCCGCGGGGCCCTGCGCACCGGTGCTGTGGTGCTGAGCGCTCCTCGCCCACGGCCGGGCTTCTCGCGTGGGCTGGCTGCGGCGGTGACGCTCTCTCCCCGCGTGGAGCAGCGCGAAGGCCTGCACGCGGTCGGAGGGGCACGCCGCGGGCGTTGGGATGCGGCATCCCGGCGGGCGAGGTGCCGCTTGATCTGAATAAATTAGACCTGTCACGGCCCACGACACTTCTTGAACGTCCTCTTGTCGGCAGACGGTGAGTTCTAGGGCTTCTGGAGGACCCAGCCGAGACACCTGCCTGTTAAAGTACGGTCAAAGCAAGAGTAATGAAAGAAAACTTGATTTATCGGCTCTGAATGGATGTTCAGGTGTAAATATTATTCAGTTTGGAACCCAAAAGAATTTCCTGCACTGGAAAAAATGTAGTGGTTTCAAGAGCATTTTTTTGAAGGCAGAGGAAGATATTTTTATCAGCCAACACCACTGTCCTCTGTGGTTTGCTACTAGTATAAAAATCTGGCATTGATTTATAATACTCCTAGAGGAATTCAGAAGAATGATAACTAAGTCTTCAGCTTTTTCTGGACGTAATAAGAAAGGCCACAGGAAACTGAGCAAAGCTGGATTTTTGTCTGCAGTTTTGCGCTAATAGGATGACCACCATCACTGTTGAAAAAACTTGCGGCTCTTCTTTTGGTTAACACTATAGGTTATTAAATAACGCTAAAAAGCAACATCTTTGTTTCTGAAGCAGCAGGAGAAGATGAAATCATGTTCTCCATACCTGAAGTCACTAATCCTTTTTTTTGTGACATCCTGTGCGCTTTCACAGCAGACACTTTCATGAGAGAAGCTGAGGAATGAGTTTTAGGAATGGTAGAAATTTTTATAATTGTGTGTTTTTCAGAATAATTACTTGCACAGTCTTCAGTTTGAGGTGAAGTGTTTTGGCATAAGTCTTCAATATTCTTGCTTCGGACAGTGAGGAATGCAAGTGAGTTCTTTAATTCTCTGCCCTCAGAGTGTGCAAGCTTCCTAGGCTGTGGTTTGTTTGTTTTACACAGTCTCCTAAATACCTGCCCCCCTGTGCTTCTATAGGAACTCTTAAAATGCTGTATCTTTACTTCCCTAAGTAAACTAGTCCTAGCCCAGTTGATAATGGTTTTGTGCATTGCAGCAAACATTGTACAACATCATATTTTGGGGGCCTCTGCTGTGTACCCCGTCCACAGTCATGGTCTTTTTGTTTGGTTTTGGGTGGTGGGTTTCTTTTCACGCTTTGAGACTCGTGTCCTAGTTCTTTGAATGAATTTTCTGAACTAGTGTTCCTATGGTAGTTTTTGGGTGGTGTGGTTTGGGGTTTGCTAGTTTGGTGGGTTTGGTGGTGGTTGGGGTTTTTGTTTGTTTGTTTTGTTTAAGTATTGCTCAAAATACGCTTTGCTTTCCAGGAAAATACATTCCTTGCTCAGCAGCCTTTAGAATCTTATGTGTGAATTTGCTACTGTAGTTTTCGCTGCATTGTTAAGAGTGGTTTATTTATTAAGGTTAACAACATATCTAGATGTTGAGAAGCAAGTTCTTGCCCATTTCTCGTATTTGTGAGGGCCTAATAACTTTGCTGCCTGTCACCATGTGTTAGCACTTTTTGGAAACTTCTTGTATCTTTATACTAATTACTTCTGTAACTAGCGATTGAGCATTCCATCACATTTTTGGGGTCAAATTTTAATAATGTAGATGGCTGTTGTACAAGGTATTATTGGGGAAACTTGCTAGTAGTAAGTGTTGCATTTTTGACTGGCATATACTTAAGCAAAGCTATCTCTTCGCGGTATTTTAAATGGTTTTAATCGTTACCACATGCACTCCTAAGAATTATTTAACTAGGGAACACTAGATCATTCCTTATGGTGGACAGCTTCAAAAACTGTCTCCAGCGTCAAATGTAGGTAACTACTTACCAATGAATGTTTTGCAATTTATTTACTTGTACTGTCTTTCATATATTTATTTATTCATGAGAAAATATTTTAAAGCACTGATTCAACACGGTCAGCTGAAATTCTCTGAAAAAAGAAGGCCACGATGTGGATGATGACTTGTTGGAATAAGCTACAACACTCCAGTTTCTTGCTGTCTTTCTCATTAGATGCTAGGCATAGCTTTACCATGCCGTACATAGTGACTTGGTAGTAGTACACATTGAATTTAACCACTTAGCACTGGTAGCTCTGCATGGTGTATGTTTTAAAGTTACTTTTCAGGAGATGTTCTTTTAGAGCTTTACTGGGTGTTTTATTGTCTTATTTTTCAAGAAAATGGCCTTTCTCTAGAATGGAGTAGCCATTTTATGCTAAACATCTCCCTTTTATGATCAGCATGCCACTGTGGTGGAGAAGGATGATAAGAGGAGATTCTGATAATCTCAAATTAAAAAGGGTAACTGTTGACAAAATGCACTTACAGAAGATACATAGTGCCTACAAGCTTCTCTGCTCAAAACAGAATACAAAAACAATTTTTACCCCAAAGAAGTAGGATCTAATTTCAGTTGCAATGCAGCTGGAAAATTTGATGATATGAAAGGTGGTGGAATAAGGAAAGTAAAAGTTTGTGTTGTCTCAATTATCTTGAAATAGGCATGAAAAATGTTAGCTGATTGTTATTCATTAATGATTAATTTCTCTCCTGTTCAATAGGAAGGTAACAGAGCTAGGTCTTAAACAGTTCTGTGTCTTAAATGTATTTTGTATTGAAGTCAGTGGAGGACAGAAGCCATAGGGGAAGCTGTGAAAACAGATGGTGACAGGTTGGGAGTAGTGGCGACACTTTGTATTTAGAGGCCATTGTGATAGAAGTAAAGGCCGGATTTTTATCTTCTCAGCACTAGTGCTTATCTAAATAATGATGGCTTTTGAAAATGGCTTTGAAATACTTGCAGCTCTTTTCCCTTTCAGTGGTTGTAAAGTAGTTTCTTGATAGCTTGTTGAATCTTGGAAGTTGATTTCACTCTGAATATTAAATGCTGTGGGATTTGGGTTTTGTTGCGTCGTAGCAGTTCTTCAGGTTGTGAAAGGTAACTAAATTGTATGTAATTCTCATTACTATGTAAGTTTCCTTTTCTAAATATTAAGCTTTATAACCATTTTTAGCTGTGTTAGAAAGTGTTTCTCAGTTTGTAGGTATTCACTTGATGCACGTGTTAAGTTTACTTGTAACGTTTTTCTCATTTACAGCTGTGCTAGTATCTATCCAAGAAACACATAGAGTTCCTGTTATGCTACACTGACAGTGCTTTGTGAGGTACCCACATATAGGATGAGAGTTATGTTTTGTATTGTTGTAGTAATTCTTCTGTCCTGCTCCAAGCAAAACAAGCTGCACTGGTGAAAGTGCAGCTTTACTTTTGTAACTGTTTACACTGGAGGATTCTGCTGGCATAGCTGTGTGGGTAGGTTTTTTTTTTTTTTTTTTTTCCTGAACCCCAACCAGGAGAATAACAACTATTTTTGTAGTTACCTTTTTAAAAAAAGGTGTATATACAGTCAAAATCTTGGTCTGTCTAGGAAGGACAGTTAGATAGCTGGGTTTTATTTAATGTGTGCTTATAGACAAAGTTTACATTTTCACCTACCCAGATGGAAGTCATCTAAATTCAGAAGTGTTCTTCTGTTAATAACAGGGTGATGAATGATTTAAAAAGGTGTAAAGAACTTGGATCTGTGTGTTTTGCACGTGAAGCTGCCAGATTTGAGATACAGCAGCCTCCTGAGCCGTTTGTGGGAAATACTGGAGATACCAATAGAGCAAAAGTAGGTAGAAGTGATTCAAATGTGGAATCTGCATAGGATGTTTAGCCAGTCCATGTTCATCTCTTACCTTCTTACTAACAGCAATAAGGGTATGACTTCTTGAAAGTACACTGTTGGCTTGCTGCCGGGAGTCTGCCTGCCTCTTTAGAAGGCGCTGCATATGTGGTGCTTGGTAGGTCTCACATCAAACGCCAGTGTTGTAAGCAAGCAGAGAGCAATGAGCATTTTCTGTGGGGAAAGAAAGAGTTCCTGCTACTAGAGTAGTGCAGCGTCCTGACTTGTGTAGACTGACAGAAAGTTGCTGTGTTCCAGTTGGAAAAAACTTCAGGAAAATTTAAATGCCAAATGTGCCAAGCATAGCAATTACTGGGTACATTGTAAAGGAATTGAAACCCTTCTGTGAGTGGCTGGAAACTAGAGAGAGGAGTGGAATCCTGTACTAGTGGTTGTGCTCTTTTGACCAGAAGGTTGCCTTCAGCAGTATATTTCTTAGTGATTCTCTACCTAAGGATTAAGTTAAATCAAAGAGCCATTCTAGCCATCTCTTCATATTAATGAGGTAGTGTCTTTGCATTGTCTAACATCTCTGTGCATTTTCTTGTAAAAGACCTTACTTGCTTTTTGCATATGTTGCTGGAAAAAGAGTGTGTGTTCGAAGTATTGGAAAAAAAACCCCTATTTCTGGCCACTGATACCCTTACCATCTATGCAGAGGTATTAGTGTTATGGCGGAAGTCTGAAATATGCTTATTTGACCTGGGTGACCATTCATGATATGTTAGGCCATCCTCCTGCTTGCTTTGTCTAGTGAATGCATTAATTTTATTATGGTTCCATTTATGGTTCTTCTTTAGATGTGGCAGGGTGAAAGAAGCAATGCAAGCCTTTTCAGATTCTGATAAAAGGATTGTGTTGAGATTGTTTACATCCAGTCTGTTTTGCTGTTGAAGCCTTTGTGAATTCTGATTTTAACCAATCCCCTGGGCAGTACCTGTTCAAAGGGCATATTCTTTTTTTCTTTTCTTTCTGTCTTTTTTTATATTGTGAAACTT